AAAAATAGCTGCTCATACGTGGATGTTTTGTCGAGGAAGACAATCCATAGGGCTTTCTCCTGTATACGTTCCAGTTTTCTTTTGTCGGATGCCCTTGCAAAGTGCCAGATTTTCTGACGATATGTTAAGTGTGGTAATATTGAAGACCTATAGATTACTAGTTTGGCTCGTTCAGGTACTAACTTTTTTATCCGCATTAATACACCAACTTGTTGACTCGCCTTTTGACATAGTTGACTGATGTTTTCTGAGAAATTTAGTTGATTGTCAATGGTCACACCCAAGAGCTTCAATTTATCAGAATGACCAACGATTTCATTTCCACATAGGATATCGATAGAGATACCTTTTTCTTTCCTCCAATATTCAGCAACATAGCTTGGTATTTCTTGCCATTTACTTGTAGTAGATTCTGCTCGTACCATTTTGTAATTTGATTTCCAGCAAACTAAAGTTGACTTTGCACCTGTGCTGTAGCTATAGACGTTCCTGTAACGTAGACCTGATGATCATCTGCGTACATTGATATCTTACAGTTCTTCATATTGTAGTTGAGATAATTTTGATAAAGCTTCCACATACAGGGACCAAAACAGGATCCCTGTGGGCATCCATGTAAGTATTCTTTCCTCTGGCTATAGACAGGGCCTAGCTTCACTCTGTTTTTTTCTTTGGTTGAAATATGATCGCATAAGTTCCAATGCTTTATCAGAGAAGTTATACGCTTCCAGTTTCTTAACTAGCAGAGGAGAATAGAGCGAGTCAAAAGCCTTGCTTATATCAGTTGACAGAACTGCTATGACTTTTCCACAATCTAATTTCTTTTTCCATTCCCCCACAAGCCGTAACAAGGTGGTGTCACAACTATGATTTTTTCTGTATGCTGTTATGTTTGGACTTAAAATAGGGTCCGTGTGATTACTAATTTGATCACATAGACGTTTTTCATAGATTTTTCCAGCAGTTGGAATCACTGTTATTTCCGTATTCTTCCAACTCCGATGCTTCTTTCAACTTTCTAAAGCTTCGTATCACGTTGGGCGGCGACGTCCATCCTCTACCGAGTCCAGATAAAGAAGCGAAAAAAGCGATTCCAGTGTACACCAGGAGACGTTTCAAGGGAAAGAAAAACAGGGTTGTCTCGCCCGGCCACATCAGGGATAATTGCATAACGCAAGCGCTAAGTCACTAGTGCGTGTAAACCATAATAAACAACTCACAATAGCTCTTCTTAACGCCGAGTCTCTGAAAAACCGTCAACACTTTCACGAGATAAGCAAAATGGCGCTAGAGAAGAAATATGATGTTCTTACGATCTCGGAGACCTGGTTTAACGCGACTATTACCTACATCAGTGTCGAGATTAAAGGTTACCAGATATTCAGGCTGGATCGCTTGATGAAGTCCGGCGCTGGTGTTTGTGCTTATGTCAGACATGGCTTAAGGACCTGGTCCTGGTCCTCAAGGACCTAGATGGCACCGGCGAATCAGGTCTACATCAACTCTGGTTACAAATCCAAAACAAGAAAAGGCGTTCGATCTCGCTGTGCATTGTCTACAGATCCCCGGACATAGGCTTTTCCTGTCTCGAAAATGAGCTCATGCCAACGTACGTGAAGGCCTTATCCCGTAACAAGGACATCGTACTGACTGGTGATGCAAATTGTGACTTAATACTCAAAACCCCCAGGAGTGATGCTCTTTGGTCTTTCTGTACTTCCGTGAACGCCCACCAGTTGATAGACAGACCTACTAGGGTCACTTTGACGTCACGTAGCCTCTTGGATATTGTCATGGTATCAAACAAGGACATAGTAAAGACCAGTGATGTTTTAGACCTCACCATCAGCGACCACTACCTAGTGTATGTCGTCCTTGATATGAAAGTACCTAAGCCTCCACCCATCTACATCACAACCCGGAGTTTCAAAAACTATACCGCTGACCAGTTCTCCAGTTACATCACAAAGTACCACGGGAATCTGTGAACTTAATGGCCTCAGTGGATGACAGAGTGGACGCTTTTAACGACCTCTTTCTAATATGTCTTGATAATCATGCCCCATAAAAACTCTGAAACTAAAGCGCAAATCAAATCCATCCATCACTGAGATTAGGGAACGGATAAATACAAGGAGTAAGCTCCATACGTGGGCGCGTAAGAGCGGAAGCCATGAGGACTGGAAAGCGTTTGCGGACTTGAGGCGGGAGATTAAACAGTCTATCCGGCATGCAGAAAGAGAATACTTCACACAAAAAGTTATCACCAATAAAGGTAATACTTATTCCTTGTGGAAAATCATACGTCCGGCTCTTCCCAGCAAATCTAGCCAGCGTCCTCAACATACAAGGGATACCGACGTCCTGGCGAATGAGTTCAACCGATGTTTCATCTCGGTCGGACAAGAAGTAGCCAAGAAGTCTACAGAGCTGGCCAACCAACACGGCCTACAGTACAACAACCCCACGCCGCAGGTCACGCTGACTTCACAACAGGCCCAAAGGGACGAGGGGGAAAAGTGATCTTAGACATGCCTACCGATAAGGCACCAGGCTTTGATAAAGTTCCCATTTCGGTGGTTAAGGACTGCCTTGAGCACATCCTTCCAACGCTGACTGACCTAATAAACCACTCTTTCTCAAGTTCCGTGTTTCCGCTAGCGTGGAAACAGGATGAAGTAATCCCACACCAAAAAAGGTGACCGTGAGGTGGCGAGTAACAACCGTCCAATCACGCTACTGCCAGTCCCCTCTAAGGTAGCGGAGAGGATTGCCATGCGTCAGTTCAGTTAGTAACGGACAACATCCTTAGAGCG